TACTTATTTGCATATTTATACCTGTGAAATAAAGAAAAGCTTCTCTTCCAGTTCTTTCAAAATGCTAAACATTGTTACTTTTTTAGCATTCGATTATGTTCTCTGCCTCCCTTTTAAAAAATTGGATTTGATGTTAATGCTAACAATTTACACTATTCTTTGTATAATTCTCTGTGTTCCTATTGAACATAGTCTTACTCTTTCTTTTATAATGTTTTAGACATATTAGAGATACATTTCTTTAAAAAAACTTTTCAGCTGCATTACTTCATAACCATTGCCTAATTTTATAAAGCATCTGTAGATCAGGGATCTGGCAAATGTTGTTTTATTTTTAAAAACAAATTTCCAGCAAATCCAGTTTTCAGTTTACACTTACGAAGTCAAAATGTCAAGATGACTCAAAAAAGAATACGTTAAATTGCAAGTGAACTTTGCAGATTTGATTTGGGAAAGATAGCACAAGATTCCGTGAGACCGCGCGTCTACAGTCCGTCTGAGTGAGCCATCAGGGATCATTCAGGAAGGTAACGTCAAAGGCCAGACCCACACCACTTACGCAGGTACCTTGAGGAGGGACTGACCTAATGGAATGAAACTTTGTTTCCAAAAAAAATGTCCAAGCATGTGGGAAATGTTACTAAAGTGTCTCATCTAATGAAAATCTCAGTGAGGAATAAACCTACGGAAAACCTTGTACTTAGGGGTAAGGCAGGGGACAAATACGACTCTACACACAGGATCCATTTCTACCATCCAGGTGAATGGACGTGTCTAAATAAGGACCGAAAGTATGTCAAGCAACACGTTGAATCTCCCTATTTATCACACAGGAGCACCTCCCCACTCCCAGACCTTTTGGGAAGGGATGTGGACAATAGACGACACTTGTCCAGAAGAAATCGAGTTAATGAAGTAGGAGATTTATTTAGGGGAGTTTGAGGACTGAAAGCCCTGGAGTATATGATCCAGATTTTTAAATTGAGGGATAGTGCGGCAGTGTGTTAACCGTCAGGGGACACGGTGCATTCTGTCCTCACAGGGGTGCAGGGCTGGGGACGGGCACTAAAATCAGTAACTCCTTCCGAAGGGGGTCTGGACTCCCGCTGTTCATTTCACATCACAAGGGAAGCAGAACCAGGGGAGACCACTGCAGTATTCTGGTGAAGAACTGCTGGGCTCTGACTCTCACTGTCATGAACTATGCACTTTATGCCGATAGATTTTTACAGCAAGATTGTCCAAACGCCAAAAATCAACAAGCAGTAGCCCTGCTGGGGTGATGGAAGAAGGACCTCTGAAAATTATCCCCTTCATAAAAACAATGAGGACACTGGCAAAAAAAAAATTATAACATTTTCGGTTCTCTGGAAAGTAACTGAAGACTTGCAGCAACCCAGGGAACATTTGTTTCAGAAAAACAACTGGCTCTTGATAAGGCAGTGGGTCATGTGTATACTAATTTGCCTATTCTCAGCCTCTTCTTGGCAGCTCCATGATAGCCTTGAAATCAGCAGCCTTGCAGACGCGGTATCTGTGAAAGCCAACAGCCTGGCAGTCACTGAAGAAGTCAAAACAGGTTTTGTTGAGGGGGAAAAAAGCCCAGCTGGACAGTAATTAGAGTGGTAAAAACATAATTTATTGGGAAAAGCAATTGCAGTAGGGGAAGCAGACCTCAGTGTAGAAACTGGTTGAATACTGAATACACTAAGGAAAAGTGAGAATTTATAGTCAAGGAGTCAGGTGAGGATCAACAGAGGGACAATAAGAGGATTCACCAGGGGTCAGTGGGGATTCTGACTCAATTGGGACTAACAGGATTCTTACCAGACAGGGCAGGGTGATCAGAAATCACCTGGGAAGAAGGTGGAGGGTACGGAACTTGACTGGACATCAAGGGTGACCAGACAGCAAGGTTAACAGCAAGTATGATGGTTAACCTTAGCAGGTTGTGTGCTAAAATCGGGCACTGTGGAGCTGAACTTGGAGGCTTGAACGTCAGAACCTATCTGAGAGGGGAGTTCAAGGGAGCCAGAGTAGAGCTTGGTCAAGGAGAGAATCTTTGCCACTTTAGAGCTTCTAAAAAAGCCGCCATGCCCTGGGGACGGTTGTTATTTGACGTGGCTGGCTGCCCGCTAAGAGCCCTATTCACAGGATGTGTTTTTTGTATTATCTCATTCAGCACTCACTCAGCCCTAACCTTAACCTTAACCCCAGCTCCACCCCTAACCCTACCCTATCCCTGTCTGGTCCTTTGCTTCAATCAGGGACAAATCTGGAGGGCCATCCTAGCTCTCCCTGTAGGATTGGCTGATGTCTTTTCTGGAAATGCCACTCCATTTACTCTCTTCTTCTGCCCAATCCTGTTCTCTCACTCCTCCACAGACGTTCATTGCTGAGAGCTCCCCACCCCCATCGATTTTTTTCTGCACACAAATCACTGTTTTAGAATCTGTTTTTAAAGCCCCCAACTTAAGACAGAAGTAGCGATAATTACCAGAGAAAGAAGGGATATTTGAAGCAATAAAATCATTAGGAAGGCCAGAAGGGAATGGAATTGAAAACACAATATGGAGTATTGATTTAAAAGGGGAAATTTTCTCCAATTTGAAGAGCAGAAAGGGGAAGATAGAGTTGGGTGGGGGAACTTTGAGAGTCACAACAAGACTGAGAGACATGGAAGAATTGCTCCCCTAAGAAAATTAAGATGTTAGGTGAGCAAAAATGGAAATATGTGTTGGTGAAGCAAAACAAATATTTGTGCCCTGCCAGTGAAACTCAGGAGCGCAGAACAGAGTCAGAAAAAGCAGAAAAACTAATCAGAGAGCCTGATAGCTGTGGGAAAAACAAGGGATTCCCTCTCCGTCTTCCGGGGCCAATAATGTTTTTTTTTTCTTTCTGATAATCTGCTTTCCTTTCTCTCCTCCCACTGTGTTTATTTACCCTGGCCAAATGGATACTACCCTCTTCACGTTTTATTTCGCCATGACCTCTGGTTCTACCTCCTGTTTTTTCATTTATAATTCCTGTTTGGTGCCTGCCGGTTGAAGATCACCAGACTTGTCTGTATGAACATTTACAGAACATGACCAATGTCAGAGTTCAGAGATGTTGTCAGGTTTTACTGTGAGTACAGTGAGCACTTTAAATCTGCACTTGGCTCCCTCTGACTATAAGTTTAAATCCCGCCTCATCTCATCAGGCAAGAAATGACTGGAAAACCTCTAGGTCAAAAGCACTGTCTTACTCCAATGAAGCTGTGACTGGGTTTGGGTTTGGGGATAGAGGGTCGTTTTGTGTGCTGTCTATTCAGAGGAGGCTTTGGTTTAATCACCATCAGGCACCCAAGTTATGATATGAAATCTTATAGTAACTAGAATTAGTTTCCCCAAAATCCACACTTTACATTTATGTGTTGCTGGGGCTTTTTTTTTTTTTTAATTTGAGAAAGTTTATTCCTGATTGTTTGAAGACATGAATGTGTTAGGGAAAATCCCAAATGGATGAATAGGACTTTCTCCTAATCCCATTCTATCTATCAGATAACTGACATCGAAGAATGATGTTTTGTAGCAGGACAAATTCTATATCTATTTCTCTGAAGGCATAAAGAAAGTTTGTCTTTGAACTTCAACAGTATCTGACAAAAGACTTGTTAGAAGAGAAAAATGACACTCATGGGCAAAGTCATTCTTCTTTGAACTCTCAAAGCTGTTGATTGGTGACTGAAGTAGGGTGGGTTTAGTCCTGATTGACATAGGGTGGGCACCCCGTTCCCGTCTCCAGTGCTTGGTGTTCACATCAGCTGGGAAAGCTTTCTCCACTTCACTGATTGGCTACAGCGTCACACCGCGTCCCCGAGCTGGAACTACGTGCTGTTCTGGGTGCCCCTTGTCAGTCTTAGCAGAAGTCTACTATATCTTGTTGCTATTTTTTGTAGATTCTTTTTTTCTATTGTTGTTCAATACAGTTGTCTCCATTTTCACACCACCACAGCCCCACCCATCCCCGCTTCCCACCCTCAAAAACTATCCCCTTCGGCTTTGTCCGTGTGTCCTTTATACATGCTCCTGGATGGACCGTCCCCCATTTCCCCCATTATCCCTCTCCCCCCTCTCTTCTGGTTACTGTCCGTTTGTACTTTATTTCAGTGTCGCTGGTTATATTTTGCTTGCTTCCTTGTTTGTCTTTGTAGATTCTTAATAGGAGCTTTTAGTTTACCTTACTTTCAGTGTGGATAGTTTTCTTTTCTATTTTGATTTTTTTTTGTTTACTTTCATCAGTGAGTTCCCTAATTTCTCTCTTATAATGATTTTTCCCATTGCGTCTGAGTGCTTTATGTAAAGATCATTAACTCTTTGTCATGCATTTTGTCAATATTAAGTCTTAATTTGTCCCTCATCTTTGAACAGACATCTTAGGCTACCTCCATAATGCTCTGAATACCTTCGCTCTGTGATTCCCATGTCCTTTGGTCATTAGTTACCAGCTGCCAACCCTAGTTCCTTCTGTCCTCACTGCAGCCCTAATACAATTTAAATTTCGGCCCTCCTGCTGTCTGCTCTTAGCTAAGCTGAAGCTTACTGATCAAGCCCGACTTTTTTGTTGTTTTTGTACACCTGAAACTAATGTGATTTTATGTCAGTTATATCTCAATTTTAAAAAGTTATGCTCTAAAATATTTAATGAAGTAATTCTAAAATTGTGTATCTAATGAGGTAAGGATCTAAATTAATGTTTTTAAATAAGTAACTTATTTTCCATCCGCATTAATTTATTGAAACTTCCTGTTCCATTTATTGGTGAAGTCACCCTTTTTCTTTTATACATTTTTATATAGAATAATGTTTGTGTCTCAGGAATAGAGAATGTTCTATATTGGGTTAAAATGCCAAAGTAAATGTGAGATATTTACAAGCTATTCCATAAATAACCTGTGAATCAAAATTAACATCAGTTTAATTTTGTTTTATAATCAATTAAACATTTTACATAAAAAATATAACTAAAGAGTCTCCAGGTTTTGCTTTAATTTCACATTTCACACACTGCACAATATTTACAAGACACTCATTCTGGTTGTTTCATAACTTGGGGAGGGAGGAGCCCATGATCTCCCTGATGGTTAAATACACCAGGAAATTTCTTTCATTTTCTAATTTGAGAGAGCCAAAACAGTTTTTACTCCCAATATAAAATCTAGATAGAAACCATAACATTTGCTTGCTTCTCATGTTAAACATTAAGGACAATATACAAATAAGATAGCTTTGTTACTAAGGTAATGATCCCTTAAAAACGTACATGGCTGTATGATGGTTGCAAAATTTGTTAAAAAAGAACTGAAAGCAAATTGGTTTTCCTGAGAGTTAGCTTCCTTCCTTCCTTCTTTTCTTTCTTTCTTCCTTTCTTCCTTCCTTTCTTTTCCTTCTTTCTTTTCTTTCTTTCTTTCTTTCTTTCTTTCTTTCTTTCTTTCTTTCTTCTTTCTTTCTTTCTTGTATATTGTATTAAAGAGCATCTATCTATAGACATCATTAAGAATAATTGTCCTTAAGGAACAATAAAAAATATCAGCTAAATCAAAATAATAAAGAAATGCTACACAAAATCTCATTTTATAAAAATTATTACAATCTTGAGCCATATTTAGATACCATTAGCTGGGACCGCTGCACTGCAGAAACTAAAACGAGAGTACATTTTTCTTCACCCCAAATCCCGATGTTCACAGAGACAAACACACAGCGACATAAGCTAAATATTCACTGTCTCAGGAATAAAGCCCAGGCCTTCTGAGTAATTGTCCAGTGAGCTCATGTCCTTAAATGGAAAAGGGCAGCCACAGCCACTGACCACTGAAGCTCTCTGGTACCTGCATTTGGGGCTGTACCTTTCTTTAAGACGGTGGCCACCTGTGGAAGTGAACTCCTTAAATAACTGCACCAATGACCTACGGCATGGTTTAATCAATGTATAAAAACCCTTCACAGAATCTGAGGTTGAAATTCATAGAGACACAAACAAGTAATAACACCTGATGAGTCAGTCCAGGAAGAAGAATACTTCGTGGCTGTAATTTCTATTTCAGTGACAGACTTTGTCCCCACTGACCCCTACTTATTTGTCAGTGAAGTTACAGGAGAAGGTCCATAGATAAAGCACCTTCTCACTTGCTAGATTTAAGTCTAAAAAATAAAATTCATCCCTTAAAAAAAATGTAAGCTCAGTGTTCAAGTTTTAGGTTAAATGAATTGGACTTAGGGTTGTTGCTTTTCTAAAGACATAACTACAACAGTGGAGAAAGTTAAATTATCATGTGAGTAAATCCAAAGATTGTGCCTCAGTAATGTAGTTAACTATTCTTAGGAAAGGCACAAAAATCAGTGTCACAATTAAAATATCCTATAATACCCACAGAATTCAGCTTCCTTTGCTCAATCCCCATACTTTTCATAAATGAGGGCAATCAAGGCACTTTAGAATCTTCTATATTCCGTCATTTCATGCCCATATAATTCATTAAAAATCTAAGATTACAAAATGGTTCACTGTCATCTTAAAGAAAGTGAAATTAAATTCCTTAGGCTAGAAAAAAAAATTAAGTTGACAATATATTTTTTCCTTATGTAATCACATCGGGCAGTGTGTGAGGATTAAAACCACAAATATCATGTTTTTATTTTAGTTTAAAATATACATACTGTATTACTGCTGCTTCTCAGATGAGAATCACTACCTTTAATTACCCTGACATTGAAAGCAAAACACGTAAGTATATAACTACTTGGAAAACTATTACCTCTTTGAGTGACAAGGAAAAATACAATAGAAGAAAATGTACGTTGTAGTGTCCAAGTTGCATGAGCATTTTTCAGTTTGGGAACTCACTGTTTGTGCGGGCTGTGTCCTCAAAATTGTTTAGTCTATTTACGATTTTCTTTCAAGAAGAGACAAGGGAAGAAGGCAACACATGAACCACCAAAACCCCTTCCTCAGAAATCTGGGAATGCCTTTATGATGGACTCGTAGGTGGGCGGGGGCGGGGGTGAAAGGCCCACCGGGAGACTGGTGCTGGACCAGTGGAAATCAGGGCGGCTCAGGCCGTGGGAAGCGTTGGTGGTGGGAGAGGTACTGGAGGAAGGGAGCGTCATCACGTGACTGTCAGTCTCCACGGGGAGGGGTGGACTTTGCAGAAACGGGTGGAAAGTCGAAGCCCTGAAGCTTGATTTCCTCGGGAAGGAGTTTCCTAGCTCCATGGAGGCTTGTCGCTGGAAAGTGAGACTGGCCAGGCTGAGGTTGCTGCGACGTTCATAGCCGCTGTGGCGGTAAAACCCAGTCCTGTTGAGGCCGTGAGTGTAGGAAGACCTGGATCGCCGACTGGAGCTCCAGTGGGAGATGCGGGCGCTGGCTCTTCGTCGGGACAAACAAACAAACAGGGCCCAGATGAATCCTCCTATTACAAGCCCGATAGCCATGGACACCGTGAAGGACATTATAAGATCCTCTGAAACAAAGAAATAAAAACCCAAATAAGTGATTTGATTTGTAAAACACAGGGCAGAGGACAAGTAGTAATCATGGAATAGTATATATGATTAAACACATTTTGAATGAGAGAAATAGAAAATGGTTCTAGATGAATATAAATAAATGCAAGCTGTTACATTTCTTTTCATTTAAACAGAAAAAAGGATATAAAACAAAAAGGATATAAAATAACATTTTAGGTATAGCATTCCATGTTGCTGATGTTATTTTATTATCTTTAAAAATACGTAATAGAAATAGTCTCATTTTTCTTTCAAAGGCAGTCTTTAGCTCATAAAAAATTCGTAGGGTTGCAAAGATTTTTTCCATTTGAGCTAAAGTAGTAAAGTGCCAAAAATTGGTAAAGAAATCTGGAATCATATTTATTTTGCCTTTTCCTCTGCTCTCACCAACCCACTCTTGCCTCCCACCTGCAGGCCTCATGGTGTCTCACTTCCTGTGTTCCTTCTGAGACAGGAAGTGTTGGGCTAGGAGCACCTGTGGGCGGACTGATTTATATTATATTTCCTAAAATTCTGGACCATCACTTACATCTATGGCTCACTGGTGACAGGACCTATGCAGACTGCTGGGCTCTTTCTTGGTCCCCAAGTTCTAGTTCGTGCTGCCATCATGTCCTGGTTTGATAATAATATTCCTGTCTCCTGAATTTCCATAGAATCTCTACTACACAGCAGTACCCTTCAATTCATAGAACTGGTATTAGTTCAGATTTCCTGCTCTGGTGGGAAATGGAGGACAGAAAACCTTACCAAAAATAGAAATTCTACCTTATTGCCTCTTTGTGGGAACTAAAAACATATTCTCGAATGAACCTGGGTAACAGAGCCCCCGCTTTGAATGAAAAGACACCCTGGGTATGAAAAGACCTCTCCAGCCTTGGCGCTCACCACATTTCTCCACTCTCTACCCTGTGGTCAAACCTTCAAGACATGTTGACTTTCTCACTAACCAAAAGCCTCCCATTCTCTCTTTTAAACTCTGTGCTTTTCCATGTATTTTTTTCTTTATCTCTGGATACAACTCTTACATTTCTGTCGGGAAAACTCAGTCTTCAAGCTCCATTTCAAGTATGGTCTTTTGGATAGAGACGCCTACATTTCATTAACCAAAATTAGTTACCTTAAGTAGAGGTGTAAGTTATAGTATCTAATTGCCTATCTAACGGTTCTGTATTGAGAAACCCATGGACTGGAAACTAACTAAATGGGGTTGTGAGATGGGGAAAACAAAAGAAGGAGACTTTCAAACGCTTGAAGTCTTTTCATGAAGAGGTAGAGTCTGTTTCCCCACCCATTGAATCTCATCTGGCTTCATGACTTGCTTTGACCACAAAGACTCAATGGAAAGGAATCTGTGTAAGCTTCCACCCTTCCTGCTCTTAGGAACCCTGCAGTTGCCAACATATGAACTCATCCAGCTGGGCCTGCTGTTTGATGGAGACACGTGGCCCAGTTACCTCTACAGCCCTGACCAAGAGTTTGCCAAACTCCAAACAGACTGATGACGTTGTTCAGATAACTCAGATTCTAGTCAACCCAACATCTGAGTGTGATACATGAAAAAAAGACCAGCGGAACATGCATTAAGCTCACCTGGGTCCAGATTGCCAGCCCACAGAATTATGAGTCAAGTAAATGATTATTTTTGGCCACTGAATTTTGGGATGGATTGTTACACAGCAAAAGCTGGCTGAGACCGGGTTCCAAATTCAGCTCTTTCCCTAACATGTTGTATGATTTTCAGGACATTTGTTTAGACTCATGGATTTCATTATTTTTGATGGACTTAGATTTCATGATTGCCAAGGTTTTTTCCAGTTTATTGTTGCATTCTATGACAGTGTATAGAAAATCTGTAATTCAGAAATAATAAAATAAACCAATATGAATGAACATATAAGGAATAATTATTGCTCTTTAATTTTAGGATATATTTAGTATCTTTCCACCTTTTACTATTATATGTATATCTTACAGAAAAACTATATTTGTTATGTCTTGCTTTCACAATTATCTTTACAAATATAAAAATGCTCGAAGACAATTGGTATATTAAATCTAAATGATAATTTTTATAATAGACGGATGACTTTTAAATTATAAGACAATTTAGGAAAAATCTGTTGGACTCAGTATTGTTCTTTCAAAGTGTGTGTCACAAAAATAATATTAAGTCATGGCCTTAAAATGCAGTCTGTTGAGATAAGAATTTCTCTAAGTTAGGCTTTATCTGAAAAAAAAAGCAAATAAATTAAGCTAGAACCTAAAATTGGCCTTATTAGTAATGTAGTAAAATTCCAAATTCACTTCCAACTATCAATGCCCCAAATATTTGGAACCTATAAAAGAAGGAATTCAGGGTTTCTAAGAGGATAGCAGCAATGTAAATCAAGATTTCCCATTTCTTCCAAAAACACAAATTGAACAACAAAATGAACAAATAAAACTGTACAAAACCCATGCCTTCAGTATAATTAGAAGACGGTGAACATTCAGCTTCAAGTTACCTAGAAAACGATCAATGAAAAATATACAGATACCACCAAACTATCTCCCATGCTTCCACTGCAAGCCTTCGTGGAGAGAAAAGGCAATTTTGTAAAAACCATGCTATAGGAAAGACACTTTTGAGTTCATACAGGAATGTGAGGAGACGGTCTTGGAAAGACTGCCAGAAGATCGTATCTCGTGTGATTTCATTTACCTAAAATGCCCAGGACGGACCAAACAATGGGGATAGAAAGTGAATGAGTGATGGCCCAGGGCTGGGGGTGAAACGGGAGGGAGTGGCAGTGACGGCTGTGGGAACAGGTTTCTTTCCGAGGGACACAATGTTCTCAGATTAGATTGTGGGGATGGTCACACAACTCTTCGACGACAATAAAGACCATTTAAATGTGCCCTTTGTGGGCGAATTATATCTCAATGAAGCTGTGGAAAAACAACGAAGAAAGGAAGGGAGAGGTGGTTTATGGGACCGACATAATGAAGGAGAAAAGAAAGAGTAAGGGGGAATTTTAGGATCATTTAAAATGAAAGAAAATTAAAAACCGTTAAGGGACACATAACCCCTCTACCCCCCTTCACTTTCTGAAAATAAAAGTCAACCAGTAAAAACACCAAACTTTGCTATACTGAGGGAAGGAGGAATTAGAATGACCCCCAGGATCCTGGTGTGGACAGGCGAGAGTGGATACCAGATTTGTAGTCTGTTATGAGTAGAAATACTTGGTAAAGTTATAGTAAATCAATACTATGTATTTTATATATATATATTTCCCTGAACCAAAACCTCCATTAGAGAATTTTGAATATTAACAACTTCAAATATAGGAACCGAGATATGGGGTTTCAGCTAAAACAAACTTTTAAAACTGCTTTGTGCTCCAACTTCTCATTTTATCGGTATTGAAAGAGTCAAAGGCTAGCCCTGGTGGGCGTAGCTCAGTGGATTGAGCTCGGGCTGTGAACCAAAGTGTCACAGGTTCGATTCCCAGTCAGGGTACATGCCTGGGTTGCACGCCATGACCCCCAGCAACCGCACATTGGTGTTTCTCTCTCTCTCTCTCTCTCTCTCTCTCTCTCTCTCTCTCTCTCTCTCTCTCTCCCTCCCCTTCCCTCTCTAAAAATAAGTAAATAAAATCTTAAAAAAAAAAAGAAAGAGTCTAAGGCTTATGTGGGAACTAACACAAATTATTTTAATAATTGAATATTGACAACTTGTCAGGGAACTATTACTCTCACTCATGTATGACATAAAACAAGAAGACAAATCTTCAAGTTTGTAAGATAAATGTTGTTGCTTTTGTATATAAGCTCATGCAACCGCCAGGGTCTGATTGAGGACCCTAAACATATCAAGCAGGATATACACAGGCATAATAGGTGAGAGCAAAGAAATATATGCACTTTATTTCAACTAAATGGAGACAAAACTAAGATCTGGAAACAGAGTAGGTTACCCGGTAAAAGTGACTGAAGGTTAAAGGCGTCCCTGTGTGTGACTTCAGTCCATCTCTACCCTCTCAGCCTCTCTACCACCGTGTCTTCTGACAGACAACGTGTTTCTGACAGTTTATCTGCAGTGAAAAACAGCACCGGGTTCCATTTCATTAAAAAAATCAAAAACTTCAAAAATGTAGCATCAGGGAAAAATAATGTCTTCTTATTCAAGTGATTGAGAAAATGAGCAAAGCAAGCCAACATAGGTGGAGTGAGAGATATATTTATATGTCAGGTGACTTTAATTTCCAAAATATATTATTGTTCTGATATAAGAAAGTAAGAGCCATATACAGATTCCAGTATATGAGAATACTGTTATAGTACATGAGAACATTGTTAAAGCATATTTTCAACTACTACAATCTTCTTCAATGACAAATTTCAGTTTTGCCAGTGAAAAGATTATTTTTGGTGGCACTAAAAGTAGAATAATATCCCCACAAGAGCAATTTGACAATAAACCTATTTTAAATGAGTCTGTGGCCAAAATTTTGGGAAATGACAGGGAGGAAATGAAAGGAATCATTATGATTCAAAATGTATTCTTATTATAAATTAAAGACTATGGTTATATATATATATATCTGAAAAGGATTAAATAATGAATTTTAAATGTACATTAGAATGATATATACATCTTAGTAATAAACTATTCAAACCTTGAAGGAATATAAAATACAATAAGGTGGAGCTACAGAAATTATAAAACTGATGCACAAAATTCACGCTGCACTGGCTATGGATGTCCCCAATTTCTGCTGCTCGGTTGAGTGCATGTACCCTGAAAATGGTTTCCTTCCCCACAGAGTCAGTCAAACATTTCTTTTACAAATTATTTCATTAATTCTAATGTCCTTGCTATACGTGCAGAATTTTTAATACTTGAAAGTAATAGTAATGACATAAGACTCTCTAAGACTTGCTGAAATAGCTAATCCATCTTGCTAAG